GGTGTTGCACTTTCCAGATGACATGTGACATAAAAGAGTTGGAGGACATTTTACATCAGAAGCACGTGCTCCCACCTGAACTAGACAAAGAGAAATTTCTTGGTCTGATGTGGGGAGGAAAACCAGGAAAAGCTTAGCAACAAGACATGGGTTCCCAATCTTAGCACAAACCATTTTTCATTTCAGAGAAACTATAAGATAGTTTCTCCTCAACCATCTCTAGGTGGTCCCTGGGTACTCAGAACAGTTCAGGGGAATGCTCAGATCACAGGAGAGATGGGAGGTCTAAGTTCGACAAGGGAATATACACTCATGTAAAACCCACTGAGGAGGCCTGGAGAAATGGCTCAGCGGTTAAAGGCTAGGCTCACAACCAAAAACCCTCTGAGAAAATCATCCTAGACTAAGCACCTCAATCTACACAACCTCTGCAGACAGAGCTGACCAGAGACACCAAACTCATACGCTGTTTGGGCTGCTCAGTCCAGTGACCCACGGACCAATGCTCTGTATTGTCAATATGTTCTACTCTAAATTTACTGGATCCAGGGGTATGATCACAGTGGTGCTGAAGAATCTAGTAAGAACTCATCATAGTGGGAACACGACTGTCTCTGAAACTTCTGCTGGCTTTTGGGATATGAATCTTCTACTAGCCTTAAGGACACTATACCCCATACTGTGTCACATTGCTCAGCCTTAATACATAGGGAGGTACTTACTCTCATTTCCTAAGAGAAGGAGTGAACACATGGGTAGAAACAAAGCTGGGTTGGAAGAAATAACTGGCAATCGAGGATGGAGGAGAAACTGCAGCTGGGATGCAAAATAAAATGAGTAAATAAGAGAAGGACCCTAGCTATGCCAGCGGGAAGATTCATCCTAGATTTCATGAGCTTATAGGATGAGAATAATGGGTATTTACAGTAATGAGACAGTGGAATGAAAAATAAACCCTCAGATGTCATAAGCATGCATACTTCCACTTTTGTTCTCAATATGTAGAGATTATAACTCCATTTTAAAACATTAAAAAACCCAAGACAGTTGAATAAAGGGACATCAAAGTCAGCATTGAAAACAGAGACTCCAAGCTTTGTCCAACAAAGGCAGGGGCCCTGGGTGGACAAAGAGAAATCTTGCAGACAGTTAAGTATCTTGAAATTTTGACCATCCCTAACCTCTGTACTTCTTTGTCCACAGCCACGGCCTCAGAGAACAAGGATCACAGCGTGGAGAATCTCATCAGGATGGGAATTGCTGTCCTGGTCCTCATTGTCCTTGGGATTCTGGTCTTTGAGGCTTGGTGCAGCCAGAGCCAGGTCTACCATGCAGCTGAGAAGTAATCAGAAGAGAAATAAGTACAGCTCTCAAGGTTCCAGACTCTGGGAAATAATCTTATGATCCAACTTTCTGTGATTAGACCTAGTTCTTACACAGAGGAACTGGTATGAGAGAATGTCCAGGGAGCAAATGTGATTTGAGTGCAGAGGAAGTTGTGAGTGTTGGGATGAGATCCTTCATCAGCAAATGACTGCATCATTCTACCCACTGTGGGCATTTGCTGATGAAACAACTCTTTTCTGGGTCTATAAAGTGAGCAAACACGGTTATAGCATCCAATTGGCTTGGGTCCTCATTTCTGTACATTTTTCTCTCCCTCACTCTTATGTGTCATTTTCCATCTTTATAAATTGCCACATTCTGTAGTAGGAGCCTCTGTCTGTTGGTCTCCAAAGACGTTGCATCACTAACAAAAATGGTGACTAAAGTCAGAGCTCAGAATTAAAGTCAGTCTGTATATGATGCCCCCAAAATACATTCTATGTACATTCGCTCATTCAGTCTTCAACACATAAATTCTTCAAGGAGTTTTTTCTTGGAATATAAAGCCAATGCTACCACAGTGGTGGAATAATGACAAGGGAGATGGACACAACTTTAAAAGTGTTTTCTTAACACAAAGTCCTGATTTGTGTTGCATGAAATTGATGTGTTTTTATTTGATTCTCCACTGCCTAATTTTCATATAATCAAAAGAAGATGACATGCTGATCATTAAGCTCAGAATCACCTTGCTAGGATAACTTATCATACAATGATTCATAGTTCCTGCATAGACAATTATATTATCTTAAAACAATGATATCTTATTTATTTCATTCTATCTCACTTTTTTGCCTATACTGGAAATGCTCTTTTACTTTACTTCTGTTTATGCATTAGCTAAGTGTTCAAGTACAAAGTTGAAGATGTGTGAAGAGAGGAGTATCTGTTTCCTTCTTCAGGATTTAATGCAAAATTTCTGCTTTCTCGCCATGCCATATGATGCTAATTTTGTCCCATGAACTGATTGTGATTTTGGAAGTCATCTGTTCCTAATTTCCTTTGAGTGTCTCTAATGAATGGCTGTAGGACATGAGCAATTTGCAATTCTTCATCAAAATTATCCCCATTATGTATATTTATAATTGAAACTTTTGATTTCTCTCATGAATTCCACATGGGTTTGAATGTGAAATGGGATTTATAAGACTGGATAAATTCTATGTTTTTTGAGGGCTAAAAAATTCAGTTTTTAAATTTAGAAACAACCTTATTTCACACATCAATCCCCCTTCCCTCTCCCTCCTATCCTTCCATGGCCCCACCAACCCTCCAACCCACACCCCCACTCCCCAAGGATAGTGAGGCCTTTCATGTGAGATCATCAAAGTCTGTTACATAATTTGGGGGAGGCCCTAGGCCCTCACCACTGTATCTAGGCTGAAATAGTGTCCCTCCATAGGGAATGGGCTCCCAAAGTCCATTTGTGCACTAGGGATAAATACTGGTTCCACTGTTTGAGGTCCCATAGACTACCCAGGCCTCCTAATTAGCACCCACATTCAGAGGCATTGGTTCTGTTCAATGCTGGTTCCCCAGCTTTATGACTGTGGTCCCTGTGCTCTCACTAGGTCAGGTCAGATGTTTCTGTAGGTTTCTCCAGCATGGTCTTGACTCCATTGCTCACCCCTCCTCCCTCTCTACAACTGGATTACAGGAGTATGGCTCAGTGCTTAGCTGTGGGTGCCTATTTCTGCTTCTATCAGCTACTGGATGAAGGTTCCAGGATGACAATTAAGGTAGTCATCAATCTCATTATAGGGGAGGGTCATAAAAGGCAACCTCTCCACTACTGCCTAGATTCTTGGTTGGGGTCATCTTTGTGGATCTTTGAATGTTTCCCTAGTGCCAGATTTCTTTTTAAACCTACACTGGCTCACTCTATTAAGGTATTGCTTTCCTTGCTCTCCTCTATTCCTCCCCTTTCTCAGTCTTCCTGATCCCTCATGTTCTCTCCCCTACTATTCTCTTCTTCTCTTTCTTCTCCCTCCCTACCCTTCCCCTGTTCTATCAGTTTTCTCAGGAATTCTTGTCCCTTTCTCCCTTTTTAGAGGGACCATGTGTTTCTCTTTTAGGGTCCTCCTTGTTTCCTAGTTTCTGAGGTGGCATGGATTGTAAGCTGGTAGTCCTTTGCTCTATGTGTAATATCCATATATGAGTGAGTACATATCATGTTTGTCTTTCTGTGACTGGGTTACCTCACTCAGGATGGTTTCTTCAGGTTCCATACATTTGCCTGTGAATTTCAAGGATTCATTGTTTCCCTCCCCCCACTGAATAATATTCCATTGTATAAATGTACCACATTTTCTCCTTCCATTCTTTGGTTGAGGGGCATCTAGGTTCCTACCAGGTTAAATTCTACTTTTTAAAGAGGCATTTTTATCATTTTATAACATGTTCTTATGGATAACAGCAAGATATGGTCTGAAGAATATTATGTATCAGTAACAGAATTTGCTCCCCTGCGCTTAATTGCTGAGAGTATTGAGACAGGATCTTCAGTATCATATCAGGATCTGTGGTCCAGATAAAAAATGAACAGAGGGGAAAACACATTGAGATGGTTTGGAAGCAGAAAGCAGAGTGGGAAGAGCTTCCTGTGACAGAAATGAAGAAATCAGAGGAATAAGGAAATTACCAGTTACCAGTTATAAAACCACAAGCCCAAAGAGGGAAGGCAGATCCCCAATGAGTCAACTAGGACTTGCATAAATGTTTCTAAACTTCTCTGTCACTGTGTTGGATAGCCATGGTTGATATTGCAATCAATCTCAAGAGTGAAGAGTTTTATTAAGAAGAGTTTTGTTCCATTTCCCCATTGTTCTAGTCTCATTCTGATACTAACCTCTAACATTTGCAACCTGACCTGTTTCTGTCACTGTCCCTGTGACAGTGCACAGCCCAAGTGCAGTGAGGATTCAAACATCTGTATATACTCTTCATCCATCCACCTGAAACACAAGCTCCACCTACACTGATTAGAGGAAGAGATTCGTGTACAAGATAAGCACCCACTCAACAATATAAAGAGCAATACAGCAAGTTGCCTCAGTGTGGTGGTGTGGCTTGTCACGTTTCATGCGTGGTCACTCAGCAAAGATGCCTGAGGAAACCCAGACCCAAGACCAACCAATGGAGGAGGAAGAGGTCGAGACCTTTGCCTTTCAGGGAGAGGTCGCCCAGCTGATGCCGTTGATCATCAACACCTTCTACTCCAACAAAGAGATCTTTCTGAGGGAGCTCATTTCAAATTCATCAGATGCTCTGGATAAGATCAGATACAAGTGTCTGACAGACCCTAGTAAGCTAGACTCTGGGAAGGAGCTGCACATTAATTTTATTCCCAACAAACAAGATCGAACCCTTACTATCATGGTTACTGGAATTGGAATGACCAAGGCGGACTTGATCAATAACCTCGGTAATATTGCCAAGTCTGGCACCAAAGCCTTCATGGAGGCTTTGCAGGCTGGTGCAGATATCTCTATAATTTCTGCCAGTTTGGTGTTGGTTTTTACTCTGCGTATTTGATTGCTGAGGAAGTAACTGTGATCACCAAACATAACGATGATGAGCAGTATGCCTGGGAGTCCTCAACTGGGAGCTCCTTCACAGTGAGGACTGACACAGGTGAACCAACGGGTCGTGGAACAAAGGTTATCTTACACCTGAAAGAAGACCAAACCGAGTATTTGGAGGAAAGGAGAATAAAGGAGATTGTGAAGAAACATTCTCAGTTTATCGGCTATCCCATTACTCTCTTTGTGGAGAAGGAACACGATAAGAAGTCAGTGATGATAAAGCCAAAGAAAAAGCAGATGAAGAGGAAGAGAAAGAAAAGGAAGAAAAGGAATCCGAGGACAAGCCAGAAATAAAAGATGTCAGTTCTGATGAAGAAGAGGAAAAGAAGGATGGCAAGGAGAAAAGAAGAAGAAGAAGAAGAAGAAGAAGAAGAAGAAGAAGAAAAAGATGATTCTGAGGATCTTCCTATAAATATTTCCCATGAAATGTTGCAGCAAAGCAAAATTTTGAAAGTTATCAGAGAGAATTTGGTCAAGAAATACATAGAACTATTTACTGAACTGGCAGAAGACAAAGAGAAATAGAAAAAGTTTTATGAGCGGTTCTCATAAAATATCAAGCTTGGAATTCATGAAGACTCTCAAAATCAGAAGAAGCTTTCAGAGCTGTTGCAATACTACACACCTGCTTCTGGAGATGAGATGGTTTCTCTCAAGGACTATTGCACCAGAATGAAGGAGAACCAGAAGCATATCTACTTCATCACAGGTGAGACCAAGGACCAAGTTGCTAACTCAGCCTTTGTGGAGCATCTGCGGAAAGCATGGCTTAGAAGTAATCCATTTGATTGAGCTCATTGATGAGTACTGTGTACAACAGCTGAAGGAGTTTGAGGGCAAGACCTTGGTGTCTGTTCCCAAAGAAGGACTGGAACTTCCAGAAGGTGAAGAGGAGAAAAAGAAACAGGAAGAGAAAAATGACCAAATTTGAAAACCTCTGCAAAATTATGAGAGATGCTTTGGAGAAAAAAGTTGAGAAGGTGGTTGTATCAAACTGATTGGTGATGTCCCCTGGCTGTATTGTCGCAAGCACATATGGGTGGACAGCAAACATGGAGAGAATCATGAACGCTCAAGCTCTCAGAGACAACTCAAGGATGGGTTACATGGCAGCAAAGAAGCACCTGGAGATAAATCCTGACCACTCACTCCATTTTTGAAACCCTATGACAAAAGGCAGAGGCTGATAAGAATGACAAGTCTGTGAAGGATCTGGTGATCTTGCTTTATGAAACTTCACTCCTATCTTCTGGTTTCAGTCTGGAAGATCCCCAGACACATGCTAACAGGATCTACAGGATGATCAATCTTGGTCTAGGTATTGATGAAGATGATCCTACTGTGGATGATACCAGTGCTGCTGTAACTGAAGAAAT